CATATTAAAGTATATTAAAATAGATGTATTACAATCAATGTAATAATATTTCACAATATTACAGTTTTTAAGAGTATTTTTGATCAAATAAATGGAGCCTTGGTGACTTATTTCCACTCAAAATAACGAAAAAAATGGGTGAAATGAATGAAAAATACCACTAAAACATTTACTAATCTTATTTCATGTTCATTTCAACATTTACAAGTAAAATCAGAAAGAAATCAGAGAAGTTGAATGAGTTAAATTTTAATTCCTTGGTTTTAACACATTTAAAGCATGATGATACATCTACAACTGCACAGCGAGACAGGAAGTAGCTCACCACACGGTTAAAAAAAACCAACCCTGAAACAAAAACAAAACATTTGAGAAGAAAAGTAGCCATGTGATGGTGAATAACCACAAGAGAACGAGTGAGGTTCACAGAAACACTCGCTCGCTGCTGCACTGCCCACACACACTTCCTTTAGGAGTGTGACGAGGACGTGCCACGGGATCTAAAGAGATTTCTCACAATATCAACATGACTGAATTGAGATTGGCAAAGCTGACGTCATGTTGTTCAGTCTTTTACTGCATGTGATAAATCATAGAGGGTAGAAGTGGCATTCATTACGAGACGACCAGTGTAGGGCTGTGACAATTCCTCCAATTAAATGATATAACTAATTAAATTATATACCATTGTTGGTATTTGATGATAATTTTTACCTGTGGAAATATCTGTAGATTATTAATATGTATGGTATGAATGTGTGGTTTTGACTTTGTGCATCCAATGTTTCTAAATGAGGTATTATTATTTATTTATTTTTTTGATTATTATTTTCTCTTTGAGATTATTGATGAAGGAAGCAGCTATTTTTTGTTTGTGTAAATTATTTAATAGACTGGGGTGGGATTTAATAAGTTTTACTTCTTCCCACTCCATTTCAAGTGTTTAAGTTATTATTATTGTGCATCTTTTCTGTTGTCACACTATTTTGCTTGAAATAAATAAATAAATAAATAAATAAATAAATAATAACGTTCCATGAATCCATGAACCGCATTATTAGATTGTTTTCCAAGGCTTTGTTACAATTTAAAAATAATATAGCATAGCTTAGTTCTTTCATTTACAAACCTGCACAAACACAGGAGAATACATTAATGTTTATAACTATGTGAACTTTGTCACATGTCAAAATGAGTTTCCATGTTTTGACGTCCACATGTTCTTGTTCAAGAAATTAGTGGCTTTGCATCTCTATCGTATCGTATTTTGCCAATATAACAAAATTAGTGCTGTCTAACGAATAAATATTTAAATCGCGATTAATGTCGTAGTTAACTCGCGATTAATCACATTTTTATCTATTCTAAACGTCTCGATTTCTTTTTCTCACGTTATTTTTTTCTCAATTTAATGCTCTTAACAACATGGAAAAGTGGATCGGCTTGCTTTGTGCGAATGTTTTTTTTATTGAAAACAACTTTGTCATATACTGTGTTCAAATTCACACTAACGTTCTCACTTGGAGCAAATAATCTCTCACACAATGTCACACTGACCATCAATAAAAGGGTGAAAGAAATACTGACGAGTGCGTGTGTGCGCTTTGCAATCAAGAGGGATTTCAGACTGGATATGTTGCGATGATAGCTCAGTAATACGTCACGTAATACGTAATTACATTAAAAAGGTCACGGGGGACGTAGCCGGAAGTACAGAATCAGTGTTTACAAGTTGAACGCAAAGGTTGAACGTGCAAACTAACTCAAACGACGTTTACAAAAAAAGGAATTAAAAACTCTCATTTGGACCTTGGACCGTTTGGTTCCCATTGAAGTCCATTATACGCCGAAAAATCCTGGAATGTTTTCATCAAAAACCTTAATTTCTTTTCGACTGAGGAAAGAAAGACATGGACATCTTGGATGACATGGGGGTGAGTAAATTATCAGCAAAAGTTTTTTCAAAAGTGAACTACTCCTTTAAAGATCTATTTATACTACCACAAAAAAATATTATAAAATTACTCAAGTCAAAATAATTGACCAATTATTTGATTACAAAAATAACCGTTAGTGACAGCATTAGATTAGCTCAATAAGTAAAATGCACCTTTTGCATTTTGTGATTTTCAGCTGAATAAAACCCTTTTTCCAGCCATATTTTGTCATTGAATATTGTTTAAAGTAGTCTCATTTCATTTTCGTGAACCCAAGTGTATCGTCTCGTGAGCCAAGTGCATCTTCACACCCATAACTGACATCATTAGACTAAAGATCGGAATCAGATTATGTGAACTCAAATGTTCTTCTTAATCAACATGTGCGCATCAAAATAACCCGTGATTGTGTCATACCCAGTCCGTTCTCACTGGCGGCGGCCTGACTGTCGGATTCGTTAGCCGCTGCATCCATAAGGCTGGGTTCCTGGTCATTACGGCGACGGCGTGAGCGTCTCCTGCGGTCGATGCCGCCCATGTTCTCACTGGCGTCTGTGTCGCCG